GGTTAATTCGTTCCGCGTTGTATCGAAGACGTGTCAAGCGAAACCATAAACTAATAGAAATTAGGGGAATGCGTTTCGTGTTATATGGATACTGTTTCTCGGAGTGTCGTGCTGTATCGAAATCGCGTTAAGAGAAACTTTTAGAACGAATGAAAACCAGGGGGATTTGTTCCGTGTTACATCGAAACCGGGCTCTCGAAGTACCGTGTTATAAGAGGGTTGACTATAGACGGTGAGTACAAAAAGTTCGCAGACTGATTTTTGTGAAGCTGTATTAGTCACACCATCTATAAAATTATAATGAAACTAAATAAAATATACTTCTCTGAGTTGCCTATAATATTTGTGGTTCACAATATTCATTTGTTCTTTAGTAACGCGTAGTAAAAGATTGTTTGATTTTTATGTATTGTCACGTTTCCAAGTATGGAGCAACGGGCCGCTATTAAGTTCTGTTTCAAAAGTGAAAAAACTGCAATTGAAACATATAAATTGATGCAAAAGGCATACGGGCATGATTGTCTAAGTCGTGCAGCAGTTTTTCTGTGGTTTAGACGTTTCAAAGAAGGTCGTCAGTCCCTTGAAGACGATAAGAGAGAAGGACGTCCTTCGATATCCTGCACCGAGTCGAATGTGGAATCTGTTCGTTTCTTACTGGCGAATGAGCGATGTCTAACAATAAGACTGATAGCTGACGAGTTGAGACGTCATGGATCGACTTTTGAAACGAATTCGACGTGTCCGTCCCGAGCTTTACCGATCGGGTGAATGGTTCCTCCTTCACGACAATGCACCTGCGCATTCGTCGTTCATCGTCACCCAATTTCTGGCTAAAAAAAGTGCGACTCATCACTCATATTTGCCAGATTTGGCACCTGCCGACTTCTTTTTATTCCCCAAGATTAAATTGCACAATGAAAGGGACTCGTGATGAAGATGTGAGGGCAATTCAACACGCCGTGACAGTAGAATTAAATGTGGTAACTTACGAGAAGTTTTCCAAGGCCTTCCAACGACTCTATGAACGTTCTGTTGAGTGTGTGGCAAGAGGAGGGATGTACATGGAACATTAAATAATAAAATCCCTTTAATCTACAAAACTAGATTTTATATTGTACCAGTCTGAGAACTTTTTGAACGCACCGTGTATGTATATATAATCTATATAGTGGCTTGGAAACGTGAAAATGATTTTAAGTGAATCTTGTTGTAATGTTAGGAAATATTGATAATTCTCTTTCTATTGTTTAATACAATATTGAATGATTTTTATAAGGAACAGAAACAAACTGAATGTTTGAATTAATGATGTTCAGAGTGAATGTAGCGTTAACTTGCAACTCAGTAGAAAAGTTAACTCAGTAGATTAGAGAGTATATGAAGGTACAATACACCTTTGATGAATTTCAAAATATTAGCGGTGACACTTGATCTTTAATAAAAGAATAATTTCTGAGATTTATAAATGGAAATGATCAGGCAATTGAAGTTCATTAGAAGAAATGGAAAGTGATCTCAATTTGTCGTGTCCTCAACACGAACCACGCGACCGATCACCCCCACCGTTGACTTGCATCGCTTCTATCTACCTGCCAATAAGGGTTCGCGAAAGAGGCCTTTTTCTAGGAAAGGCGTTGATTGGCCCTTTTTCCGAATTAGCAGCTACAAAAGTGTGACCATTATCACCCATCCGCCGTATTCGCCAGATTTGGCATCTGCATACTTCTTTCTATTCCGCAAGATTAAATTGCCAATGAAAGGGACTCTATCCATCGTGATATCTTCCAACCGAGAAATAAGATCACGGTAACAAACACAATTGATTCAAATTTAAAAGTTAATTCTGATGCCAAGAAAAAAGCAATGTAATTTCCTAGAATAATAGCATAAAACTTCCAAACTTGAATTAAGAATTGTACTTTGTGGAAGATGAAAAATTAATTTAAAAATTGAAACATTTCATTTAGTACAGATCAGAGTTGTTATATCAATCAATCAAGTACCACTATTTCTCAGAAATCTACAACAGTTTGTAATTGTAATCAATAGCCGAGAAACTGGTTTGGCTATTCTGTTGTAAACTAACTAGCCAAGAAGTTCATTTCCTTTCGTAAAGTTCACTGTGATACATACTTCTTTGAGATTAATTTATTCTAATTTCGAGTGTTTCAGTTTTATGGTTTTAAATACCAGATTTTTAAATATTGTGAACAGCACCGCAATTTACAACGATCTCAAGCCACTTCGTCCAAGAATATTACAAATTACAACACAACAAACCAAAGAACAAAAGACACCCTCCAAGAAACTCTTCCAAACTGTACTCTTTCCAATCCTCTCACCAGGGACGAGACACGATTATCGCTAGTCGAAGGAGTGGCCGCCGCGTTTCAGCCGGAAATCTCATTAACCGACATAACAGGATACATGACGATTCCGGAACGGTGGCTGACGGGAGACAAGGAGCAGTATCGTCTAAGGCCCCTTTCCCGGGACCGATCCGCTTCTCGCCGTATATTTCCGCGAGCGGATCGTACAGAGCTCTCGCAGAGAGGCAGAACCGACTGATGCGTTGGGTGTACCTTCGATTAATCGGTGGAAATGCCGCGAGGCCGAGATGCACCGCGCGTGTTCGACCCGGCCGACACCTGTATTACCTGCACAAAGCAGCCATGCCGCCAGGTATCGACGTGTGCACATCGTCGTCTGCCAACCAGCCCCTCCACCCACACCCCCACACTAGCTAGTCTACTGCTTAACAATGCGTGCATAGCGCAGCCTGTTCCCTGAGCTGTTTACAGCGCGGCGAGTAAAGGTCCACCGCCGTTTAATCCTCGTGGATTATACCGTGGCTCTGTTTGACCGTCGTCGGAGATGATTCTGTTTGCAGAGATTTTCGTCTGATTTAAGATGTACAGTTGGGGGCCAACTGGAGGAAGTACGAATAGGGGAAAAATGTTTGAGTGGATAGAGTGGGTAGAGAGGGATAGATGGGAAATAGAAGGTGAGGATTGGGTGATGGATTGAGTGGAACTCTCTTCGAGAGGTTGTGCACGGAAAGTGGAAATTTTTTGGGAAAGAAATTGGAGAATCGGTTCAGAGTGTGTTTTTGTAATATCGGCTTTGGAGAATTGTATTTAATTTATTGTACGGAACAAGTAAAGCGAATAGATGTCAAATTAGTTTTGAAAAAATAACGGTTGGAAATTATAGGACTCAACCTTCTAAAAACTGGAATATGTCATTCGTCCGAAAAATTCAGTATCAACTAGAAAGATGGCATCAAATTTCGCCACAAGCATCTCTGAAAATGGATATACTAAATAGTGTTTTATTTTTTAAGTTTTTTTGAACGCATGTAAATAAAATAACTGGGTTATTTTAATATAAGGTTACGTTAGGTTAGGTAACAAAAAATTATAAAGAGAAAGTTATTTATACCCACTTTCAGAGCTGCTTATGACGAATTTTAATGCCATTTTTCTGACGAGTGACATTCGTTTGACTTTGATAAGTTAACTTATCACGGAAATTTAATAATTATTACATGGGTAGCATTGAGAATTTCTCTATTTAAATAGGTCTCTTTTTGGCTCTGTTAACAACATCTTATTTTATCTCGCTCTTGGCCTCAAAGCTAGGGAAGTGGTATGAATAATAGTCACACACTTGGCAGAAAGATAGGTCGAGAAACTAGAGCACAATGGTCTTCGTTCTAAAGGGTAGAATCTATTGTATGCATTTTTACAGAATAAGTAAACCATTTTCATAAATTGGCCAAGAATTAAAAATTCAATTTCTGTATTAATTTGTAGATTTATCTTTATTAAAACCTTTTCCATTTCGTTTTGCGAATCCTGTTAATTAGTTATATTAATACATTGAGAATCGATGAAATAGACTTACGTATAATTTTTCATCGTATCATTCACAATGAATGATATCGTATGAACTAAGCAGCGAAAGAGTTGAAACTTAATCGACGATGGCGATACGCGTAAATTAATTAATTTATTTTCAATATGCAAATTAAAAATTAAGACTTTTATAATAATTCATGTAAAGCACATGTATAAAGTTTTACAATGTAGAGATACATTTTGTATGAGAATTATTTGTTAGCATGTAGCATCATAGATAGTCAAAATCCAATCAGCGGTGAACGTGTCAGGGCTCATATAGACTGAGGTACATCGATGGAAACACTGTATCCCGACAGTTAAAAGATTAAAAAGGAATAAAAGAGAAAAATGTTCCGCCATTTATAAGAGACTGAAATACAAGACCTTCTGCTTATAAAGCGATCGCCTTAGTCACTAATCCGCTGCAGGTTCTTGAATACTACCTAAACCTCCAAGATTTTGTATAACCAGTTTTAATTGTTTATAAAAAATGTGCATTGAAATGAAATGTTTTAGAGAATGTTATCTTGCGACTTCTAGATTCACCCCTCCAAATTTTGTCAAAATCCCCGGAGGACCAACTGCAGGTAGTTATGGGTCCTAAAATATGCACTTCGAATCGCTTGGAACATGTACCTACATATGTACTACTTACATGTGATGAAAACTTCGAATCACTTCGATTATGATTCGATACTTGAAACTCTTGAAAGTTTTGATAAGTCTTGAATCTTAGGTCTTGATAGGCCTTGAGTCTTTAAAGTTTCGATACGTCTTGAAAGTCTTGATAGGTTTAATAGGTTTATTAAAGATATTGAATACTCGCCAAGTTTTCAAGGCGTATCAAAACCTTCAAGACCTGTCAAGACTCAAGATTCAAAACTTATTAAGACTTTCAAGAGTTTGAGGTATCGAATTAAGTTCGAAGTGAGTCGAATTTTCACAGTATTGAAATACTTTGAATCGCTTCAAAATTAAGATTTAAACGTCCATTACTCGTTGGAAGGTTTCCTTGTGCGCATACCACTTGAGTTCAAGTTACGACGCAACGAATTCTCCTTTTACAAAACGAAACTAAGTTTACTGATACACTTGCAGGTCGAGCTGGCACGGATTACCCAGTGCTGGGCAAGGTGCCCTATACGAATTTCTACTGCGACGACCAGCCGTATCCGGGCTTCTTCGCCGACGTGGAGACGAGATGCCAGGCGTGGCATTACTGCGACATAGACGGCCGTCAGGCGACGTTTCTCTGCCCAAACGGTACACAATTCAGCCAAGCGGTGTTCGTCTGCGACTGGTGGTTCAACGTCAGATGTGAGCTCAGTCCTAAGCTGTACGCGATCAACAGCCGACTTTATGGCAGGCCCACTGAAAGTCCAACCAGACCCCATCGCCTCATCACCAAGGAACTACTCGAAAATATCTTCGTCAGACGGAAATGAACGGAGAGGAACGAGTTCTTGTTTGCTCTCACAATTTACCGGCGAATGGAAAAGAAAAGGCTGTTCTCTGGTTAGTTCGAAGTAGTTGTGATTAATGGATTCTGGTGTGTTTTTTGGAGAAAAGGAAATACGCTCGTTCGATTGTTTGATCGTGTTTTTAATTATTAAAAGTGGACATTGGGACACGTTTGTTTCCTTTGGAAGAAGTCAACGTTGCTTTGTGATTGAAATAAGATTGGAAAGTGAGAAGATTCGAGCAAAGTGCCACTAAGTTTGCTTTGTAGTGTAAATTGTTCGATAGGCATGGACGAATAATTTGTTTATAGAAGTGGAGTAACAGTAGGTGTTGATGAATATTGAGGGACAATAAGTTTATTGAAAAGTAGCATGTGACTCGTTTAACGCCGTGATTAGGATGTATTTGAATGTTCGATTAACGGTTCAAGTGCCACGAATTTTCTAACTGGAGAAGACACTGAAGTGTCTATATCACAGGAGGGCAGTTTGCAAGTACTTGTTTGCATTATGTAAATATACTATATACTAGGATATTATTAGTAATGTATAATCTATATAGTATTTAGTATATTAAAGAAAAAAGATGTTTAACTTCGGGTTAGTCTGATGGGTTCTGATAAATCCAATGCCATAACATTCATTCTATCATTTTTATAATTATAAAAATAACACATTAAATCAATTTATCTCACCTTATCAACTTTAAATTCCCCTTATCCTCAGATCCACCAATGGGATTTCAATTATCTGAGCCTTTGAAATAATACAAACGAAAAGTAATATTCTGAATTCTCCAAATGTCATAAAAATTCATCGGACTAACGTAGGGATAATAAAATAAATAAACATAGAATGACGTATCTACACCTAATATTTCATAAATAGTACGAAAAAAAAAGAAAGTAATAAAATTACGTCACTCTAGCAACTAAGTTAATCAAATGGCTCCTTAAAAGCTATTCTGCAGAAGTAAGTTAGAACTTAAAAGTGACACTGTTTAAAAATAAGATATTCGGACATGGGCATAGTGTAAATGTGAAACACGCGTAGTAGTCGATTGGTAAATATGTCCTACTTTAAAGATCTGTTTGGTAGGACAAATTAATAATTTTTACCTAACATATTGTGTCCAAAAATAGGAATGATCCTTTGGATGAAGTGCTCGCTAATTTCGTACATGTGTATTCCTTATAGACATAATTTATTACTCAGGAAGAGATCTCGAGAAATTCAAAATATATGAATGTTATTTTTAATTTCAAAAGACACTCATTATGGAAAATTCATTCCCTTCGAATATTCACATATACCCTTAGCTATTAGACAAAAAATCTATAAATATCTGTAAAAATGATCCCTTTCTGTCAATACTTACATAAACTACGATTTCTAAAATTGGAACCTTTATACTGACATCACAATTAATCACGTTGGGCCAGACTTTATAACATAAGGAGGAACGAAAAGAAACCGATAAAATTCTACGATCTTTTTACGAATGATCACTATCGACTTCTATATAAACTATATCGTTGAAATTAATCCTCAACTATACAGACGTCAGTCTTTAAGATTATTTGACAACTTTATTTATTAAATCACTGCGTTATCCAAATAAATCTAATATAATATTATTTAAGAATACACATTTGACTGTTAAGGATTTGTATAATATTTAAAAGATTAGGAATTTGTGTTATAGAAATATTGTACCACCTACCGTTAATTGAAGATACTCAAACACAAATTACAGTTCTGTCTGTACTTAGTTAAGGGTTAATTACATTACACCAGATTCGAGTACAGAATGAACCATTCTAGCTGAGACATAAAACGACATGAAACGTAAAAACAACTTCCATTCCATAGAAAGGAAAAGAAGAAAAGCTTGATAAGCAACGCTGTGCCAGTAAAATCGAAACATTCGCATCATTATCGAAACTAGTCGCATTAAACGAAATTTGAGCACAAAATGGACCATTCGAGCTAAGATAAAGTAAAAGCAACTTCCGTACCATAAAAAGGAAAGGAAGAAAAACTCGATGAGCACCGCTGTGCTAGTAAAAGCGAAGAGTCTGGAGAAGGACATTCGTCCGTCGCGATCTTCCTTCCCTTCGACTAACTCGACGCGGAAGAAGACGCGCTACACCCTCGGCGCGGTTCTTAATCGTTGATGAGATCGCATTCGGGACGAAGAGGAACGTCTCCCCTCTGCTCCTCATCTCCGCTGAAAATAAAGAGCTAGTCGATCTTTACGGCGGAAGTAGTTGAGCTTCCCCGCCAGGTAATACGCGCCGCGAGCGCACCTGTGCGAGAATCAACGAAGTGTGCTGATCGATCGGCGAATCGAGACGCTGCGGGATGGCTCGTATCGTAAACAGGCAGATATACAGGATGTTCCTTAACACGTGGGTAAACTTCAATGGTAGATAGGAGACAGAGATATTAGGTTGTTGCATATGAAATGGCGACGGTGACCATATGCTGGCAAATTCCGTCTTGTTTTTATGAATTAGAATCATGTCAACTGCGAAAACGTTCTTCTCCTCACAAACTTTCCTCCACGTTACACCAGAACCTTCACTGTTACAAAAACCAACGAACCAAAAACTCAAAACCAGCGAATGAAATCCATCGAGATTCCATAAAGAACCTCGAACCATTCCGAGCAGCTATCCAAGCATCGAACTCCGATGCGATGAACACCGAATCCATCGTGATTATTCGCTTAAATAACGAGCACGCGAGACCAGGCGCGCGCATACATCCATTCAATCAGCTTATGTCTTACAATCGCGCGCGGCTATTGCGTAATTGCTTCGCGTTCGCCCGAAGGCCTGACGCTTCGCTTAGCAACGAACCAATTGACGATCGGTCATACGTGCAACAATTGCGATTACACGTGGAACGATCGCGATTATACACGCAATAATGGAGCAGGGAAACTGTTGTGCCATGGCAAACAACTCGACGCGCTATGCGCCATCGCAAAAAAGCTATTGAACATGGAAACGGAGGCTGCGAAATGAACATAGAGAGGAAGCTTTTGAGTTTCGTTTCCCTGGTCCTCTATCCGCTAATTCTCGATAATCTGGTAGGAAATAATTTGAACAGAAAGGAAAAATGGTCTTTGGCGTAGTACGATTGTTTCTCGTTGGGAGTTGGAAAAGATTATTTAACACGGTAACAATTTTGAATCTGGTTCTGATAAATAGGATAAAGTAGAGCGAAGAATCAAGTTGGAGATGATCAGAAAGTAGATTTGTTTATTTCGTGTTCAAAATGGAATAGCGTAGAGTTTCACTATTTCATTCTTTATACAGGATGTCTCGGAACTGATAATGCAACACGAAAAGTGTCGAATCTAGATGAAAAGTATAAGTAGAAAATATAGAGTAACATTTTTTCATATGAAGCTTCGTTTCCGAATAAATCAAACGATACACTTTGTTTTCCCTGTACAATATTTCTCTTGTTGCACGAAAATCATTATTGCATCTGAATAAATCGATCTTGCCAATGGCGCAAAAGGTAAATTTCTTAGTGATTTCTCGTTCGTCTTTCACCTAAAATTGTGCGACAGAAGTTAGGAAGGCATGCAGCAATCATTCTTCAGTTGTCTATACTCGTTACAATTCAATTGATATTGCAATTTCGATGAAGAAACAACCGAAAGTAAGAGACGAAAAACAAAAAAAAATGAAATGCAGTTAAGAGACTAAAGGTTAATTTTCAGCGTTTGTCAGTCAATCGTCGATCCTCGATTTCGATTCGTCCCATTGTCAATGCACTCGATTACAACAGGTCAGAGACACATGTAGCGGTCAACACATGCACGAGAGGGAGAGGGAGAGAGAGAGAACGCAAGGTAACGTTGTTCATGCGGCAGCACGGCCAAAAGTCAACGCTTTCAAGAATCGATATCCGCTAATAGAATTGTGCACGCACCGCGAACCGAACGAAATACGACAACGGCAGCTTTGCCGGCAATTAGTAATGACGTGTCGTTCGATATATTGTGTGTACGGCCTGTCGCCTGAAAGCGATCGTCGCGCGACCAATTTCTCGTTTCACCGACTCCTTCGTTCGGAGAGCACGCTTGTTCATTCTCGTGCCAGTTCATTGTAATACATATTTTTCTCTTCACATGACATTGTACAATTTACCGTGAAAGCTTAACTTTTACATCGTCTGATAAAACGGAATCTATCTTTCTACATTTTCATTCAATACTTATAAAAGATTAGTATTCGATGACACATTCTCCACTTTAAATATTTCTCTTTACTCGAATATTTTCTCTTCACCGTCCCTATTGCCTTCAGAAGAATAATGTTGATCTATAAATGAATTCTTCTGATAATACATACATACATATCGCGATCCGTTGTCTTCAACAGAAGACAGAGGTCTCGAGTAAAAATTGGAGACTTAGTATAATTGCACTGCACGCGTAGCAAAGTTCAAAATCTTGCAGTTTCATTATCTTGCAACAATATTTTTTAAGGATACAGAAGTGTTAGTAAACCAGTGTAAGAAGTTTATTGAAATACAGGGAGATTATGTAGGAAGATAGGAAAAATTTCTTTCATCCTGTGGAAATCTTACCAGGTGTAAGTACGTATATTGTATAGGCAAACAATGAAATTTTAATTTTATTGCCTCATATAACTGACAAAGTATTTGTTAAGGCGTATCCTGTAGCCGGATTTATGGCGGCGAGTCAAGTGGTTGCCGTCGCAGGCAAATATCGTTTTTTCAAAACACCACTAGTGTTTATTGCGTTGCCTGCGACACTTAGTCCCTAGGAAGGGAAAAATAGAAAAGTGGCCCACGACTTTTGCCAACGTCGATGGGCCACTTGACTTTAACAAAGCCTAGAAAAGCGGAGATTCCACAGGATTCCCACGCATCCGTCCACCGAACACTTTCTCCGGTCGTTGTTCACCCTATCCTAAGATAACGCGCTAAGGGCGAAATGG